GCCATGCCGTGAAATATTGTGTAAAAGGTGCATGCATATAACGCGTGCGCTGTTTTGTGTCTTTTTATGTCAATCCATTGTAGAAATATCGTAATTAAAGTTAGCATGTATATTGTATGTAAAATTATACTTGGTAATTGATAGGTGACTGTGACTTGATGATGCACATTAATTTATTATCACAGGGCCGGATTTGACCATACTGCGATGTTGCAAATTAGGAATTAGTAATAAGATTTGCGCAGTCGCTTGTGATTTTGTGTTGTGTAATTTTCCTATATCTCATTTGAGTAAATGGTTTTCTTAAACATATCTTCACAGGATCTGGTAAGTAGACCATTGTAGACTTGTGTATTTCGTATACCTGTCCATCCACATGTGGTTAAGGCTATGTTAGTATTGTAAGATCATTCCTTAGTATTTAAGTATATAGATGCAGTTAGATTATGTACATACTCTAGATTATTTACATATCCCACCGGGCACACGACGTTGTTTCAATGTTGAAATTTGGAAGAAAAAAGGTTGCAACGTCGACAACCTAATATCTACGTTGCTCTGACGTTGTTTTACAAACATTGGTTCAACAGCAGCCAGCAGACGTTGAATTAACGTTCATTCATGGTTAAATGTACGACGTCGATTTGTGAACCAATCTCATTAACGTTGTTTTAACGTGGATTCAACGTTGAATTATGGTTGACGAGATTGGCAACCCAATTTCAACGTTGTTTCAACGTCGAAACAGTAACGTCGATCCAATTTGCATAGTCAACCCTTTTTCAACGTCTATCCAACGTCTGGAAGGTCATTTCCAACGTTGATTCAACGTTGGATAAACGTCATTTTGCCCGCTGGGATGTGGTTTATAAAATCTGGCAAAACATTTAATTATGCCACAAGGGTAGGTCTTATTTTAAATTAATGCCTTACTAGACTAATAATCCCACTGTTTGTGGACTTGGGTAGATGTTTTACATTATACAAAAAACGTTGCGCCCAGGGTCTGGCAAAAAATTTTGACTGTATAGTGTGGCAGTCATTACGTAGTATATACTATATGAATTAATACTTTTAGGTAACATATATAATAAGGATTGATTGTCCAAAGCAGTCCGAAGCTGTCCGAGCCAGTTTCGCGTTTAAACGTGGTTTGTGGTGTAATACATTGGGTTAATATCATTAAAAATTACTGTATAGAAAGGCGAACATAGGTCAAACTGCATGCGGAGTGGCCTTGGACCTCCTATATCTATGCTTTGGACAAAGCATCTCATTCGTACAACAAAATTACATTAAGGAGATAAATGGATAGTATTGGAGAGATGTTGTAAATTTTAATGAAACATTGAATAATGACGTCACTGTCCATTGGGGCTATAGCAAACCTCACAGAGTCTTGCGTTGACCGTGCTTGTGAAGTATGCATGCATGTGTTAGCGGATGGTATATATGGAAAATACAGTATATATAGTTATGTTAATTGTGCTTTTTCATTTGTTTGGCCCTTGGGGTCCAACGTATACGCAAATTTGGAGAACAAACAAAATTTTTTTAAAAAAATAAAAGGAGAACACACAGGGAATTGTATTAATCAACCCCAATAGTAGAATGGCTGGGCGATGCGGATTACCACCAAACAAATCATCCAGTAAGTCTTTTACATTGACACTGAGTTAAATTAAGATTTTTCTGTGTTCCATTGCTTTTAATCATTTTTTCATTGTTTTACTGTTTTCTATCATTTTACTACTCACAATTTCTCCATCACTCATTTTGAACAGCACCACTATCACTGCTATTTTTCGCGCCAACAACCAACAAAACATCGACTCCCTGCATGAAGCCCGTCCTGATAAAGGACATGAGACCGACTGAACGCGTCGAGGGCCAAACAAATGAAAAATCACAATTATCACAACTATATACTGAATCTTCCATATATACCATCCGCTAACTTACTTCACAAGTACGCTGGGACGCCGGAACGATGTGAAGGCAAGGGGGCAGATTTTCGTGAAAGGCCACTTTTGAATTGATATTTTCTAAGAGATGTTTGCAAAACATCATGTTTTCTATTTATTGGATGATAGGGGTGTGAGGGGGTTCTCCGCCAGGCGATTGTGCTATTCTTGAAGCTCATCGATCAATGACTGCATTTCTTGGGTTTTCTGAAGCAAATTCGCAAAAAATTGCACTGACAATTCGCTACAATTCGCTAATTGCACTGACAATATCCGATCGATTTCTGAAATTGCACTGACAATCCTTTAAATTGAAGGACACCTTTGCCCTCCTTGCCCCTCCTGGTAAAGGGCAACGGGGGTGGCTGCCCCTATATATATATATATATATATATATATATATATATATATATATATATATATATATATATATATATATATATATATATATATATATATATATATATATCTTACAGTATTAATTACCTAACATTACCTAATGATATATAAGTGAACTACAGATTCTAGACTCATGTAGAAGGTCCTATTACCTATCCCAAAATTAAAATATAACATTAAGCAACAGAATGCGTTGAAGGGGTATATAAACACAATGTTTATGGTGACTGCTTGAAACGCTGTTTGTCAATATCTTTCAAATTGAAAGTTGTCTTATAATATTAAATAAAAAATATCAAAAATAATTTTTTTTTAATTTATAAAGCTACGTTTGCACGCTGCGATTAATCGGGTACGATTCGTTTTCTGGCGTATGTCATTGAGCAAACACGCGTAAGCTGGCTACATTTGAAACTTCTTTCTAACGAAACGGCAATGAATTATGGCGTCAGCATTCATTTTAATACGCCAGAATCGAAACGTACACGATTAATCGCAGCGTGTAAACGTAGCTTAAGTGAATGCCCTCTGTTTTCTGGTGTCTGGCTGAAACAAAATGCACACAAGCTTCGGTATTATATATCACTTATAGAACTTTCAGTTGGGGGTATTCCTCAAAAAAATATTTTGAAGGATATGGTATGACATAGATGTAGAACATTTTTGCCTGTGCAAGTAAAATCCATTCACTTATTCCATTATTACAAGAACCGATTGTAATTTATTGATGATTGTAATTTATTGATGATAGATAGTCTCAATTTCAAGCACAATATAAAATTTGAATGAATTGCCCAGAGAAGAATGTAAACGGAATATTTATATTTATTTATATTTACCTTCTACAGTTTTAAGTAGATGCTCATCATAACTTGCTTCATGGGACTTCTCTCCTGGTGTAAAATCATGGGAATCGATTGGCAAAAATTTAACGTAATACTGCAAACTAACATTGTACATAATTTTGGCTTCACAGGCCCCACGTGTTGCAACAATAGTTGCATTAGTAATATCGGTACATTGAAGAGAATCTGGCCTTTTAGAACAGAGCTTCATTTCATTTATTTCTTTTTTACAGTCTTCAACACGCCCTGTTGAAACGTTGAATTTGATATTCCATTCCCTGTGGATTACACCGTCAAGAATCTTCTCTTTATATGTATTTTCAAATTCAATGACCTCAACTAGAAATATAGAAGAATTGCAAAAATCAATTTTGGGTTGAAAAGGAAATAAAACTTAATGTTTTTTTATGTTACTCTGAGTGTATATGCACACCGGGCAGGCTGAAAAGTTAGCCTGACCGGTACGGTGGGAATCGAACACTCGATCAGATAAAAAGTTCTTCATGTACCTTCAACTTTAACATCAAACTTGAGAGGTGTTGGATCATATCCAACTAAACGTCTATATGATCCTTCCAAAAATAGCGTCATCTTTTGGATTATTAAATTTCCATTATCCATTAGCCGGTAGTTCTTCATATCGTAAACGGATGGCTTCTCTCCCGATTGTTTCCGAGCAATAGTATTGTTGTTAAATAACCATGTTATGGTTTTGTTCTCAGCATCAGCAGGTAAGGTAACCATTTCGCCTAGCTTGGGGCGCAATGAGAACTCAACGCCATTTCCGTCTGTAAAAAATAAAATTAATAAGATTAAATCACACCACAGGTAAAAATATGTCGTTAGTTTATCTTGCTAATCTTTCCTATGTATGATGATACAATGTTCTCTGTTACCACTGGTGTTTTGTGTTGTAAATCTTAAAAGTACTGAAAGAACTGACTGATTTATTTTTTTGCTGCCATCAGCGAATGGCTGGGCAAACCAACTTTGTCCCCTACTGTCCCACACTGATTGTTTATTGGGGAACCATGCACGTGATGGTTTTGGTTCATTTGGGAAGGGACAATTTGCAGACAGACTATGTGAGACAGATACAGGTGTATGTACCACAGAATACCACACAAATTTACATGTTCCATATATTTTGTTAGTTAAATGCATATAACATAGCCTGTTAAATATTTTTAGTATTTTTTTCATTATTTTTTTCTTCCTGTGGGGTCTTGGGAGTTAGGTTAGGCAGATTCTATTATTTTTTAAGTCGGACATTCCGTGGATAAATGACAGAATACCAGTGTGGCAATAAGTAAGGAACGGTTTATCAAATTGTACGAGGATTTGGTGTGTCATGTTGTGTGATAACACTGTACAGATATAACACTGTACAGTAACTTGATTTATAGTCATAGCCTATCTAAGGGAAGATGGCTGTGAAACTTCATTCGAATAACAAGATAACTCATTATCTATGTTAGTTCAACGTTTATTCATAATCTGGTCATATCACCGTCACGTGTGTATTGTATTTTTACCAAATCCACCAATAGCAATTTCCAGTTTTCCTATTGTTCGAGTCACGGATAGGTGACTTTCCTAAAACATTCCTATTAGTTAGTAGGGAAAAAATACAATACACACATGACGGTGAAGGACCAGATTTATGAATAAACGTTGACCAACATAGACGATGAGTTATATTTTT